TGGAACTTGACTATAGGGAGGCTAACGCTGGGCCATCATGGCTGAAATTCCTAACAGATAAACTCTGGGTCTCCAGTGCTGCAGTGGAAGTGCGGGTTTCTTTAGACACTGGAGAAGGGCAGTGAAGTCTGGCCCACTCAGTTACATGAGCACTGTCGGGAGGATTAGAGGGCTCGTGCTGAGGTCTGAGTGGTTTGGGAGGAGCATCCTGAGGTTTGAGTGTGGGGAGAGCTCCAAATTGGGCAGGGTGCTCTGGGAACTCCACTTCTCTCAATTTCCAGAGTGCGCTAGGTCCACAGTTCCAGGCAGGGGTTAAACCACCTCCCTAGGCATGCAGCTGGTGAGGGAAAAGGCCATGAGCCAGGTCACTGAAGGGCTACCTGGTGTCACAGAAATCCAGACTGAGGGTTGGAAGGAGAGAAACACTTTTAAGACACAGCTGTGGGAAGTTTCAAAAGGAAGACTTCAAAACTTAAATGTCTGCAGCAACCTTATATATCCATGATTGCACATAAAAAGGAATAGACATTACATAAGCTAGTAACAGCGTTATGATAGGGGGGCTGTGAGCAATAAGCCAATCTCAATATGCATAGATAAACTTAGTTACATGAGTGTTAGTCTCATCCTTGCAGCAGAAAAGCTAGATCAGACTGGTTATCTCTCACACAATGCAAGGTCACATTCGGTTAGCTCTATACACACTTCCACATTGTTTGTTTCAACAACATACATTTTCCTTCTCACGGGGTCAGGGAATGGACCTGGAAGGAGGCTTGCTATCCTTGCTAGGTGAAACAACTGGCTGGGGACAAGAGTTGTGCAGGCAGCAATAGCACCTGCCTGAGACAGGTTTTAGGAGCGGTTGTTGGGCAGGGCCTGGTTTACCTGGTAGATGTCAAGTGAGTGTGTTGTTAATAACACCTCCCTAGGAATAGGGACGGGAATACTGACATAGGTGGACACAACACTGACACACTGGTGAGCTGGTTTACAACAGGCAAGCTCACGCTCGCCAGGCCCCTTGGCCAGGGATTAGGGCTCCAACTCTGTGCTCCTTGAAGGGCAGGGCCTGAGGTGGAAAGGGCAGGGCTGAAACACACACATACCATGGCTCTGCAGCACTGCCCTCCCACCACACACACAGGGCCTGAGGCTACAATTTTGGGCCCCTTTATATCACCAGGCCCAAGGGCAACTGCCCCCTCTGCCCCTCCCCCATTGGCAGGCCTGTCTGCCAGCTTCTGAGGAGGGAAACTGAGGCAGGGTGCTAGGAAGACCTTGTGACCCAGGGGCTGCCCTTCTGTCTCATGCTGTTCAATATCTCCTCCTCCTCCCATAAGGGCAGTAGCTGACTTTCCCCACTGAGATGGGTATTGCAGGGTCAGACCACTTAGCTCTGGATTCCATGTCTGTAAACTGCCGGTTCAGCGTGCTGTGTGGCCTTGTTCTCCATTGCATTCCAGCCCAAAGCAGTTCCACCTGCAGAAAGCAAACCCAAGTGCCTTACAAAAGGGAAAGGTTTGATTGGAATAAGCACATGAGGAGCATTGTAGTGTGGAATGTTGCGGAGTGGCAAAGTGGCTGAACATCCCAATACAAGTACCTACTGTTGCTCCAGGATTAGATCTAGTAGTAGACGGTGGCCTACTTTGGGGGCCATGCAAAGCCATAGCATTTCCCGGGGGAACATTTGCCACTTGGGAAGCTGATGCACACCACCCTCCATGGGTGCTGAGCGGGGGGTTTTGGGGGGGGGGGGGGGGTATCATAGCAGTATTTTATCTTCACCTCTCCTGCTTTGGAGATGTCGAGTACCTCACACAGCCGTGCTGCACTTAGGGGAGTACAAGGACAGCAATTGTGCCTAGCCCCCATGCAAACGGGAGCCCCCACCCCCTTGGTACTGTCCTCTGTGGCCATGCACAGTCTGGTCCTCATGCTAATGAGCAGTTGCAAAGTTGCCTATCATAGCAGTATTTTATCTTCACCTCTCCTGCTTTGGAGATGTCGAGTACCTCACACAGCCGTGCTGCACTTAGGGGAGTACAAGGACAGCAATTGTGCCTAGCCCCCATGCAAACGGGAGCCCCCACCCCCTTGGTACTGTCCTCTGTGGCCATGCACAGTCTGGTCCTCATGCTAATGAGCAGTTGCAAAGTTGCCACATCAGGTGTACCAGGATGCAGCGGCAAGGTGGATGTGGCAGTATCAGACTGGTGCCCAGAGAACTGGTGCAGGATTTACAGTGCAAAGTATCTTCACTATTTCAAAGGGCTATTTTGAAAGACGTTTTGTGCTGCAGTTAAATGCTTCCCCTTGATCAGCAGAGTTGACTTCTCTGTATCAAACCGGGACCTGCCGCCACATAAGATCTTAGTACTCTGAGGCAACAGCCAGCATAGAAATGCTCCTTCCATGACAATCCCCTCCCTTTTTCATCTCTCCAGTGCACAGATCTGCTCCGTTTCTTTGGCTGAGCCTCTCTTCCCCTCTAGTGAGTGGAGCTCCTAGTCCTACAACAGAAATACAAATCGCAGCCTTTCCAGGGAGAGAGGTTGGGCAGATGACTTTAGCAGTGATGGACTGGCTAGCTCTGGGAGGGGTATACCGAGCCTTTCCTCTCTGCTGCCATCCATTTAACTCTAATCCATGTCACTGAGTGAGTCCCAGCTCCTCGGGGACCTCTGCATGGACAGCTCCAAGGAAACCCCCTTGTGGACACAACTGAATTTTTAAAACAAGCTGGCTAGGTAGCCTGTGGTTTTTGCCACGTTACAACTTCTCCATAGCAACATACACAGGCACAGACTTTCCAACGTGAACGGGGGAGGGGGGGGCGCGGGGAAGGGGAGGAGAGGGTTTGACCTTCCCCAACCCATCCATTCACCAGAGTCCCAAATTCTGTAAAACAGCTGATCCCAGCAAGCAAGAGACACAGGGAGGAAGGGGGCTCACAGTGGTCCACAGGGCTAACAGGCAGCTGGTGCTAGGGAGGGCATACTGATAGGGTGGGGCTGCCAATGGGGGCTCCAGCACCCACGGATGTGGCTCATTTTTGTGAATACGGATGCAAATACAAATTTTTATATCTGCACAGGGCTCTACTCAAGGAGCCAGTGCCTATGGAAAGACACAGACATGCTGAAATCTCTCTAAATCTGAGCGCAAATAACAGTGTAGTGATACTCGTGCTATAGATCCCAGTCTTGAATTCCTTGGTTTTACTCAGGTTCCAGTACACTTTCCCCTACTCTAGAATACACCCTGTTGGACCTCTGAAGCTGGCCGAGGATGGCCCAGAAAAGCAAAGAGAGGCCCAGTGGATGGCAGCAGCAGCAGAGTGAATGACAATGCAGCAGCAACACAGAGTGAAGAGTGGCAAGTGAGGGCCAGTGGTGGTGGCAGCAAAGGCTTTGCTCAGTGTTTCCTCGCACCCCACCCCCATGTCAGGTGAGTGTGGCTGTGTCTCTGAACTCTGGGTCTATCAACCAAGGACAGCAGCTGTGAGTGGGGCGAGGCAGAGGGAGCAGCGTGTTCAAGGGACATTTTGTTTGTTTGGACTTCCACACCGCAAGGTAAGAAACGGAGGCAAGGACCACTGCCCAATGTTCTCTGGAGCAGTTGGATGTATTCAAATCATGGTTGTGGTGTTTTCCCAAATTAGTGCTGGCTTCCTTCCCTCTTTTCATAATTTTTTTTTCTCGCTATATGCGGACTCAGGGCTTGTGAGAGGGTCTCTCAGAGGTGCAGAAAGGGGATGTTTTAATTTTCCCAGGTCACTGCATGTGGGCTTGAGTTGGTTTCTCTGTTAGAGTAAGAAGAAGCTCTGGATATTGATCCCGGCCCTTGTGGCTGCCAACGGCCCCTGGCAGAAGGGTTACGTAACACTACCTGGTTAGTAAGGTTGAGTTGAGCCTAGTTTGCTTGTAGTTAGTTCTAAATTTCCATTTTAAGTGTTTGTTTACAACTAGAAATTATCTGGCAATTCTTTGCTAAAAGTATCCAGGGGCAACCTCTGAATGTAGAGTGTAAGTAACGGAGGGTGAGGTTCTCCATAAACAAGCAAGAACAATCTTTAGTTCTTTCATTGTGTAAAACACATGGACTTTGTTTTTTACCAGTGCTATTGTCAACGAGGCAATTGCTGGTGAATATTTTCAACGCTTTCCCAAACCTATTACAAATTGAACAACTGAAGACAAAGTATGGAACACAAGCAATTGTGGCTGTTCAGAAGTTTGTGTACATTCTGCTGTATTCCTAATGTAACAGTAATGATATTGCCAACTACACATGGGAAATTCAGCTTGCTCCTGCTGGTATTTCAAATTAGCCATGTTGAGTCTCTCAAATGCTCTCCTCCTGGATGCTGCTTTGCTGTTTGTCCATACAGCTATCTGACCTGGAAGAGGGTTATGGAGTGAGGCTGGTCAAAAAATTTCATTCACATTTTTGGGAATATTTTGAATTTATGCCCCTCCCCATGCACACTTCCCTCTTTTCCATTTGTGTGCACCCCATAAAATGAAACAGCTTAGAAAAATTAGGCGGGCAAGAGGAAAAATGAAAAGATGTCTAGGGGATCATTTTCTCTCTTCATCCTCAATTTATTGTACTCAGTTTGTGTGTCAGCCCCCACCCTTCCCCTTTCTGCCACCCGTACCTTCCCCAGTCTTGATCTTTTTTGATCTTTAGCATCTGTAGCCCCAGGAAGTAACATCTCCCAGCAACAGCCCAAATGTTCTCTTAGCTGCTTTCAAGGTGTGCATCTGTGACTGTTATTTCTTAATACTGGCTTCCTTTCCATCCAGCTGCTGTGGTTTCAATTAATACTTTCAGTTCAAGCAGGCAGCAATACAAAACTGAATAGGGAAACAGTCCCACGTAATATTCATAACAAAGAAAGCCATGGGCACTGTGTGATTGCCCCCTTTGGGGAGGTTAGATCCTTGCCACCTCTTCTTCTGTGCCCCTACCCCACCCATGGGAACCCTGAGCCTGACCCCAAACTACAGCTGGAGGGGCCTCAGCTAAGCTGTCCCACTCCTTGGCTCAGCATGGGCTTGGGCTGCTACCTGCTGGCCAGATCTCCAGGCCTCTGGCTAGAGCTGAGTCCCTCTGGCTTTCAGGGAGAGGGTTAAAGAGGGAGGCAGCAGGTTGCCTTCCAGGGAAAGGGCTGGAGGAAAGGAGGGATGCAAATGGTGGGGAAGGGGCTGGAGGAATGTGACATGCAGCAGGAACCTCTGGAGTGGAGGGAAAGAACTAGGAGGGACTCACCAGCTGGCCATTGGCAATGGGAGCTTCAGGGAGTGGTGAAGCCGAGCACAGATGGGCCAGGCATCCTGTAGCGACTTGTGACCCACTGCCCATGAATAAAGCAAGTATCTCCCAGTTCATTCTGCCCCCTCTCCGTGCCCGAGGGGTTTATGTCCTCAGCATGGTGGCCTGCTGGTTCCCAAGCAGTCTCAGGGTTGTGGGATGCAATAAAACTCAGGTTTATTAAGAGCAGAGTGATCTCATGCGAATCAAAGGAATAGTCTAGTCTGAAACTTCCCAGAGCACCTTCCGAGGGGCTCGTCTCTGGAACCACGGGTGAAAATGTGACATGTCTAGAACTGGGCATCCCCCACCCAACCACTTGGGCAGACTTGCATCATGTCTATTGTCAGACCCAAGCTCCAATCTCTGCACTGTGGGAATTGGCTGTTTCATGAGATTGCTTCACAGTGGGATAACAGGCTCTTTGGGACTCACATGGCTCTCACATTCAGGACATCTCTCAGGTGTATGGGAGCGAGGGATGGGTATCTAGCATCTTCCATCTGTAGCTCCTCAAGTGGCTTACCAAGAAGGCAGCATCCTTCTCCCCATTGTACAGAACGGGAAGTCCTGGCCAAGGTCACCCAGCCTGCCAGTCAGCACTAGCTCCCAGATCTGAGTCTCAAGGCACAGACATTCTGGTTTGTTCTTTCTAATTCAGTCATTAGAATGTGTTGCTTCTCTTCACCTCCATATACTTGTCCGAAGGTGGGTCTGCTTGGCTAGGTGTGTGTGACCCTTGCCTGCAAAATCACCATGTTTGGGGCCTGTCCTTGTGGAAAAGCCCTTTTGAGGCAGTTCAATTGAAACTGCCCTCCAGTCTATGGTTAGCTGTCCCTGACTGCAAAGCCGCCTTGCTTTGTCTGATTGATAGGAAAGGGGAGTATTTCTTGCCCATATTTCTGCTCTCAACTGCACTGTGCGCAGCCTGGAAGATTTTCAGGTTTGATTCCCAGTGGGCCATTGAAGGCACAGTATTAACAGATTCTGAAGGCGATGGAGGTTTTAAGCTGCTCTAGGAGTGTGAAGTAATCTCCCATCCTTCTGGGGAAGTGAGAGAGGTCTGATGCAAAGCCACAAAAGCAAGATAGTGCCAACTTAAGACTGAAATCTCCATCTTCCTCTGTTCCCAGTTAATGAAGGGCTCTCAGCTCTCTTCTGCTCTTTTGAACCTTACACTTGTGCTATAATACAGATAAGTAATGGGATGGGTGGGATGAGGAGGCTGTATCTTGCTTTCTCAGGTAGCGACCGATTCTGCAGTCCTTACTTAGCTAAATAAGACCAGCAGTCTCGAGCCTTTAAAATAGAAAATATACTCTTGCTCATCTAGAAAGAATTTGTCATTTCCCCAGCTGTACATGGAAAAGAAGGTTCCTGCAGTGTGGGGTGTGAAGATGTAGTGAGAATCCAAACTCCAAAAGGCTGCGCAGTAACTGAGGTTTTCAAATGCACTAGAAGATGCATTATATTCTCCCAGTCTCACCCTATTGTCTGGAGTCCTTATCCAAGGGACTCCATGTGCGTGCGTGTGTGTGTGTGTGTGTGTGTGTGTGTGTGTGTATACACACTAAAGTATGCTAGTGCAGTGCTGTTCAAAAGTTTGAAGACCAATCTATGAACTGATATCGCCAGGCTAAACTTGCCATAACACATAAGTAATATGTGCAATAAAATGGCAGCTGGCAGCTGCAGTGGGCCCTGGAGGTAGTTCATGTGTTTTCAGGGAGTGGTCTCAGAAGAACCCTTCTGCAGAAGGTGTAATATAATCGCACTGTGCATTATCGCAACAATACCCTCGGCAAAGGAACATTCTACATTTTTTCAGCTACAAGATTTTGTTGTCATCATGCTTGCGGTGCATTCAATGCGTTTGGCCCTGCCCAAGTTAATACAGAATATCTAGAGAAAAACACCACTCGCAGTAGCTCTAGAGCTAATGTCTCATTGTTGAGCAGATCAGTATCATGTGTGTTCAGTCTGAATCTCTTTGGCTGTGAAACTGACATTTTCAAGTTGCTGGAGGCTGAAAGTTCCGGGAAACTTGCAAGTTCATACCTGGGACAAATTTAAAAAATTGTTATAAAGAAGCCTGAATCATTCCAGCTTCTAGCTCTGCTCCACCTCTAACTTGTGGCTGGTTTCTATATAAGGGTCAAATGAGGCAGAAGCCCATGACACCCTTCCCCACCTGAGCCAACAGCCACAGTCTGGCCTTTATTATAATCAGCTGTAGCTTGATAAGCAAGTGTCCTGAGAACTGAAATCTGTCCTTTCTCCTGAGTCATTTGGGAAAGATGTGTTACCCAATTGATTTGGCTTTAAGTTTGCTATTCTGGTTGGATGATACCATACGCCCGTCTAAATTATAACCACTTACTCTCATCATAACACAGTCCTCTGAGGATGCATCTATATAGCACCCATAGCTCGAAATAAGCCATGCAATTTGAGCTGTGCCAATTGCGTAGCTTATTCTGAGTTAATTTCGAGAGAGAGCACTATTCCAAAACATCCTTTACTCCTTGTGGAGTGAGGTTTACAGGGATGTCAGAATAGTGAACCCATTCTGTTTCAAAATAACAGGCTTGTTTCACGGAATAGCTATTTTGGAATTCCAGAAATATCCCGAAATAGTACCACAGTGTAGATGTACCCTGAGAGTCAGTTGGAGGCAGGTCACGCTAACCTTCCCCACAGAGCCTATTGCTAAGTAGGTCAGAAAGATTTAGTAAAAAGATGTAGTACAACCTTACAATCCTGGTTTTCTAGCTGCATTCACTGCTGCCATGGGCATATATTCGCTGTTGAACTCATGGGAGTTGGAGTCGTATTGCTTTGTCTGCAAAGAAAATGCCCTGAATTTAGTTGATAGTCTCCAAAACCCACCCTGGGTGATGTTCATCTCTAACGTTCACGAGTTGGAAGAGGAAAGCAGACTCTTGCCAACAAAATGCTGCTGCTTCCTTCTACGGCTGCTATGCCCTTTTGGACTTAAGAGGTTTTGCACCAGAACAGAGCTGCAGTTCCTCCACCAATTTGCTTTCCCTCCTGAAGAAAACAACCCAGTGAATTGCTTCCAAAGCCATTTTCACTGAGCTGGGCAGAGTTGCTTCCTAGGCCACCACGTCTTTAAATCAACTGAGGAAAATGAACCCTGAACTGCTGTCACTGAGGACTGGATGCCCGTGGTACACAAAAAAGTCAGTTTCTGCATTGAAACCCATCACACTTAAGCTGTGTCTACATTGGCACCCCTTTCTGGAAAAGGGATGCTAATGTAGACTTTGGAATAGGCAAATCCCTGCGGCATTTGCATTAACATGGCTGCCGCTTTTTTCTGGCTTGGGGAAAAGCCGGAGAAAAGCGCCAGTCTAGACGTTATTCTCCGGAAAATAAAGCCTTTTCTGGAGGATTTCTTATTCCTACTTTCAAGTAGGAATAAGAAATCCTCTGGAAAAGGCTTTATTTTCCGGAGAATAACGTCTAGACTGGCGCTTTTCTCCAGCTTATCTCCAAGCCAGAAAAAAGCGGCAGCCATGTTAATGCAAATACCGCGGGGGATATTTAAATCCCCCATGGATTTGCCTATTCCAAAGTGCTACATTAGCATCCCTTTTTCCAGAAGGGATGCCAGTGTAGACACAGCCTTACTGTGTGTGTGTCTCTCACACCGAGGGCCAGACTGAGCAGGCATTGGCTTTGGACCAAGGGCTATGCAAGGGCATCACTTACCTTCTTTCTTAAGCAACAGGCCACTATGCAGCAGATACAGGAAACAATGGAAAATGCAGTGATCCCAATAAGCGTCCATGACATCACTTCTGATACCAAGCTGGGTTCTGCATCTTGGACATATTAAGAAAATGGAAGATGAATAGTAGCCATTATTGCCCACCCCTCTTTTGTATGAGCATGATCTGAAAAAAAAAATGTGCTGGGAGGGGGGTGGGTTACCAGCTTTAATAGGATAGTGACCCAGCTTGCTTTTAATTTTTTTTTTCAGGTTTTGCAACCCCGCCCCCCCCATTTGAAGCAGTGGGAGCAATGGCAGAAGCTAGTGTTTTAGAGGGATGGGAATGATGTGACTGGATGGTGTGGTGATTCAGCTCAAGGCAGAGACGCTGAGTGAGAGGCAGCAGTGGTCCGGGGGGGTTGTATGGGGAAGAAGTAAAAGAGGCTTTGAGGCGGGTATTGTTAACAGAGTGGAGGGGGCAAAGGACAATGTCTCCAAGGAGACCAGGGCTGTAGCATGGCTGGGCCTGCAAGGCCCAAACAGGACTTAAGTTCATGCTCAGTCTTGGGAGCCCATACCCAGAGGATGGGTGAGAGGGATTTGGAAGCAACACTTTGGATAGAACGGAGGGAGCCAAGATTAGACAGCCCAGGAGAGGGCCATAGTCACAGCATGAGGTGATAGAGAGATTTTTAAGGTCAGAAGGCAACATTAGGGCAGCAGGTTGGACTTGGCTGGGCGCTGGGCAAGGTGGAGGGGGCTTGGAAGGAGGGCTTTGGCAGAAGGGAAGGGTCTGGGGGCAGGCCTACTGACGGGGGCAACTGTCCCGAGTCCTAGCAATTCTAAGTGACCTGGAGCTTCCAGCTGTTGCCACTACTACTGTGGGCCCCGAGTCCTTGAAATCGCTGCCGAAGTGCCACGTGGCGTGCTCTGGGCAGCTCTAGGGGCTGGGGGGGCAGTGCAGCAGGCACTGTGTGGCACTGAAGGCTGCCCCCGCCCCTTCCACCCGAGGCCCTGCCCTTTCCAGGAGCGCAGAGCCAGCTCCCCACCACTGCCTTCCCCAAGGGCCCAGTGGGGCTGTCGGCTTCTCTGGCTGGGGGCTAACCTCCCCCAGCTAGCCCTTCAGCATGACTTGGGGCTTCAGCCACTGCGGCAGCAGCCAGGACCTTGAGCCCTTTTAAATTGCTCATCGGCGGGCCTGCTTGGTTACCTCAGCACTCCCCAAAGTCCTGGGAGGAGGAAAGAGAAGAGCTGGAAGGATGGCTTGATTATCCATCCTACCAGGGAACTGAAGGCTTGGGTGGACAGATGATAAATCTGCTCTGCTAGAACAGAGACACTTGCAAGCCAGCCAAGAGGAGAAGTCCAAGAGACAATGAACAGGAACTCAGCAGACGGATGTTAGTTCAATAAATGTGGATGGACTCTGTCCAAAGTTACATAAGGCTTTGACTGTGACACAGTTAGGTAAATCTCAGAATGTATGTTTTTCTTCATCTATAATTAACTCCCGCCTTGCATCCAGCATCTTACATGAAGGACAATGTATTCTATCTCTAGAATAAGGAGAGAGGGGCTATGAACTTACCACGGATATAGAAATAGATTTCATTAACCCTACAGTCTATGTAAGGGGCAGGCAAAAGGATTTCCAGGCAGCAGATATAAACGCCAGTGTGCTTGCTCTCCAGATCTTTGAGAATGAAGGACATGTTGTTCCCAGAGTGCACTGGCTGACAAGAGCTGTTGTTAGTTTCAGGAACTGACGTTCCATTGTATATGTTGAGTTCACAGATTTTCTGCATCTCCTGCCCTTTCAGCAGTTTCATGCTGAATTCAGTAATATTTTTAGGGTAGTCAAAGTTGAACTTGAAGATTCCGCTGTGAAATTCAACCTTCATCTGGGTTTCAGAGACAGGAGAGTGTTCTGCAGAGAGAAATAATAATAATAAATCATGTGCGCACCATGCAAGAAACTCTCCAAGTTCCTGTATCAAAACAGGTAAATGTAACTGTAGTACTGAAATCTACAAAACTGTGGGTGTCCAGAACTGATAGTCTTTGAGCCCATAATGAGCACTCTCTTGACAGCATGAAAGAGAGAGAGAGAGAAAAAACTTTGTATATCGCTTAGGGATACCCTTAAATTCTCTTCCACCTTGTTGCTTGGCACATTTAATATTCAGATGTGGAAACAAGGGTAAAAGAGGTTTTAAAGATGCTGCTGAACAAATAGGTGCACTATGAGGATCTGAAATACCTCAGTGAAAGCTAGTATAGGTCACAGTTAGTGTTACTGCATATTTGTTGTTTGTATTATGGCCATGCCCACAGGCCCACTGATTCCAGTACTGTGTAGATAACAGTTCCTGCCCCCCCTCAGAAATTCATAATGTAAGTAGACAAGACAAACAAAGAACAGGAGAAAGAGATGATCCTTTTCTTCTTTAACAGATGTGTGAGTGAGGCACAAGATTTACCTGAGGTTGCAAAGTGGTAGAATGAATATCGATCTCCTATGACCCAGTTCAGTGTCTTATTCACAAAATCATCCTTCCTCTATGCAATAGCTATTTGGTTTGATGCCAATAATTGACATGTTTATAGCTCCCCTTATCTTTTGAAGCTTGCTGGATCAGGGGAAAGGAATGTCACCCCATGCCTACTCTAATAATCAAAAATCTACCTCCTCTCTGGCCCCAGATGTTTATGAAAATCCCTGAAGTGAAACCATCAGCTAATGTGCAGCTGAAATAATGCTTGCTTGCTTATTGCTTGTTTGCTTGTCAATTAAACGACCTGAACAAGGACCTCTTGGTACCTTACAATTTGGCTTTTGTAGGAGTCAGCAGCAAACAGAACAGGGAAACCCTTTGGCCAGATGCATGAATTGCAATGTCAATTGTAAAGAAGAACCCGTTTCCATTTCAAAAGCAGCGTATCATGCTATGGAAAGACCTTGACAGCTCTCTTAATTCAATTCACTGAAATATTAAACATTGTTTTAAAAATGGCTCTTACCTCTATTTTTGCATAGTTGATGTGACGAACAGGGATTAGCTCCTGAAAAATAAAATGTAATTTGCTGTTTAAAAGAGCTAAGGGGTCATAATGTGATGTTAAGACAGCGATATTCTTTTCTAGTGTTTCTATTAGGAGCCCATGAAACAGCAGCCAAGTGCTAACAATAAAAGCAAACAGTAATATCATTATGAGACATTAAAATCAGAAGTTAAAGAGCTTGGTCCAGCATTAAGATCAGTTGCTATGTAGCATTTCATTCATTAATGCAAAATATAGATAATACTTATGTTTTATGGGTGTTCTGAGCAAGTAGAAGCTGAAAGTTAAGAAATTTTGCCAAAAGCTACAGAGCAAATTGGTGTAAGACAGGATTCAAAATCAGAAGGTATCTGATCATGTTCTCAGATGATAGTCAAGACTTTATATGTCTCTTATCAGGGCTCCTAAGATCAGAAGGATGTCACAGCCAACTGGACACAGAAGTCTGGCTATTTACTTGTGATAGTAATTTCAGTAAAGCATTCAGATGTCACTTGGATTGACTCACTTCAAGCAACTTTATTTTGCTATGCTAGGGAAATAGACTGACCATGGTTCATTATGAATTTTAATGAGCCAACATATAATTGCTTTTATATTACAGTATCGTCTAGAGGCTTCAGCCAGACTCAGACCTTATTGTACTAGGTGCTGTACAAAGTGGTTCTAAAATACAGTCACTGCCTTAAAGAGCTTGTAACCTCAAGCGGCCTTTCATATTCATGCTCTGAATTTCTTTTAATCCTTGTTCTCCCACTTGCCTGTTAGCCGGGGCAGTGTGATGCGTCCCTTCCCCACTGTCCTCACAACATTGAGCGACATGTACATTCCAAGATACTTACTGTTGTTTGAATATTGATTAAACACCCTCTGAGGTGTTCTCATTGGCTGGTACTATAGAAACAAAACATTGTCATCACCCTTGTCTGACTGAATCATCCTCTTCTTCTGTTATCTCGCTGCCTCTAGTCCACCGTGCACAGTCAACTGCCTTTGGCTGATGCTATGATCATTCTAATAGTCTGTACCACTCTCTGGGCTGTTGCCATATATGCTGACAGTTTGGACAGTGGTGATAGGACCGAGGGGTAAAACACCCAGTTGGAGTATAGATGTCAGCTCCAGGACACTCACCACTGACCCCAACTTGTTGTACAATAAAGTCACAAATACAGAAAGTGCCAGCACCAAGAGGAAGGAGGAACACTGAAATAATTGTTGCTGCTTTGAACGTTCCTATGTGAAATTTGATTGGGTTTGTTGTATTATTGTTAATTAGCACTGGCAAAATCATTACTTAACATGTCTCATATTAGGGTCTGTTGTTGGACAGTTTTAAAATGAGGCACCCCAGGAACAAATCGGGAAGGAAGAAAATAGTTGAAAATGTATCATTGTAATGGGCAGGAAGCTTACAGTGTTTGCCTTGTATTTTAAATCTTAGCTCATATTTTTGGGTATTGAATTTTAGATTTGTGGTTCAGTTGCTTTGGTTAAATAGGGACAAATTCTGATGCACCTTCTAATGTTGCACAGCATCTCACTCCACAAATAGCCACACCAAAATCAATGGGGCTATGCAATTATGAATGCTCAAGCTGGCCACAAAGCTTTACACAGAAGTGAATTTCATCCAAAAAGCCCACCCAGACTACAGTGTGCAGAACCTGTTGAGGAGCTGGTCCACAAAGAAGACAGCAAGCTAATTTTGTATGAGCTAATGTAGTGGTTCCTTTTGTTTAAATAGTGATCTATCTTTTGTTCTGATGAACATAGTTGTCATCCTTGCTGATGACCAGTGCATGCCTCTACTCCCAGTCACTGAGTGTACAGATCATGTGAAACTGTGGCCAACATGGAAGATGGGCCCAGAACTGTAGCCATCAACTTCCAGGAAGACTGAGACTGATGAGATCACTTCACTGAGTAAACATTTTCATAAGTATGATGCAATAATCAGTCTTTTGGGAGTAACAAGTGACAATGTGACAAAATGGGGAATTACTGGCCAGGCAACGGTGCTGCAAAACATGGGTCTGGGAGTTATAGTGGATAATAAATCGAATGCGCCAACAATGTGATGCAGTTGCAAAGATGACTCCTGTTCAGGGGGTAGGAAGAGGAGTGCTCATGAAAAGTATTTGTTCCACTCTGTTCAGCACTGCGGAGCCCTCAGCTGGACGGTTGTGTCCAGTTTTGCCAGGCTGTAAGAAATGTGGACAAATGTGACAAAGTCCATAAGTGGGCAATAACAAGGATAAAATGTCTAGAAAACCTGAGCTATGAGGGAAGACTGAAATCTTGGGAGTGTTTAGTTTTGAGAAAAGATGACTCTGGGGAAGATACTGATCCTTTTCCTACCCTCAATAGACAAGAAATAAATTCAATCTGCAGCAAGGAAGAATTAGGTTAGATGTTAGGAAAACCCTTCTGTTTATACAGACAGGTACTGGAATAGGTTACTAGGGGAGGTTAGTGAGTCCTTCTTGTTGAGGGTCTTTAACAGGTTGGTCAAATACCTGCCTGGCTTGGTCTAGGTGTGCATGGTGCTGCCTCAGCCCAGCGGCATGAAGAAGATGACCTCCTGAGGTCCTTTCCAACCTTACCTTAGTGATCCTGTGCTTATCCTAGCATATAGAAAGCAATGCCTGTGAATGAGGTTTTAAAGATGCACAAAAGAAAAGATCACAACCAGTTTCACAAGCTTACTTCCCACCAGCTTTGCCACTAAAAGTTGTATTTTGCCTTGCCAAAATGGAGACTGCCATGAAGCGTTGCAAACATGCCTCTGAAATTTACAAGATGACTAAGACAGAGAATAGTTTTCACTCCAATTTCTAACTACCAACCAGTACTGGATGGAAATGACTTGCTCAACTGTGGGAACCTCTGAACCTTTAGGGTGTGTCTAGACCAGTGTTTCTCAACCTTTTTTTTTTTTTTTGCTCATGACCCCCTTCTGAGCCTCATTCATTGTACGCCTGGCAGTTAAGTTTGGGTGGTCCCCTCAGAAACTTACTGTGCCCCTAATGTTCTGTTTTTTCCATGTGGCCCCCTAGAAGGAAGGCGTGGCCCCCTGGGGAGCTATATGGCCCATGTTGAGAACCACTGGTCTAGACTACAGGGTTTTGTCAACAAAAGTGGACTTTTGTCGATAAAACTATACCTGCATCTACAATACCGCTGACACCTAACGTCAACCGAACTCGGCAGTTTTCTCGATGGTGGTAAGCCTCATTCTACGAGGAATAATGCCTTTTGTGGACAGAAGGCGTTATTGCATCTACACTGTCCTTTGCGTCTACACTCTCATGTCGACAAACCGGCTTGCTTTATCTACAGAACTGGATGTAGTCTAGACGCTCTTTGTCGACAGATTGACAGTATCTGTCGACACAGCCTCTGTTGAAAAAAGCCTATAGTCTAGACGTACCCTTAGAGTTCCTGCCCATAGCTAGTGGTGGTGTCTACTATCTTCACTGCAGCTTTAACATGTGTTGCAGTTTAGCAAAAATCCTATTCCCCCAGTCACTTGGAATGGGTAACATTTCTGACAGGACAGTAAAACAGTGTTAGCTTTTCACTGACGTCAAGCATGTCATCTACATCATTGTGGAGTGAGAAGGCAGATAAGAGATGTTGTGCCCCCACAGTTAAATTTCCTTTGTTCCAGGATCAGATGTTATTTGTGGAACCTCATCAATCCAGGATAACTAATTAGATGCTTTTGTGATGTCACTCTCTAAAATACAGGTAGATGAAGTGTGTGGGGGGGAGAGTATAAGCGCTGTTTTTTATACAGAGTATAAAACAGCCACGTCTGGATTAAAGCATTTGGAATGGAGCCATCTGACTTTAAGGTTGGGGGCGTTTCTTTAAATTAAAATCAGGCGACAGTAACGCAGTAGCACTGCAGGTCTCAGACTGTGGGTCAGGACCCCAAAGTGGGTCATAAGCCCAATTTCATGGGGTCACAAGGGCTGGCTAAGATTTGTTGGGGCCAAGGGCCAGAACTAAAGCCTGAGCCCCACTACCCAGAACAAAGCCAAAGCCTGAGGGCTACTGCAATGGATGGGCTTTGGTTTTGGACCACCAGTGAAAGTAACTTAGAATTTCTTATAGCTACTGTCCTATTGCAACCCAGGTCCCTGCAAGCCCTTTAAATAGCTCCCTACTGGCTTTTGCCGCAGCTCAGCCAGCTCTTGTTGGAGCTGCGCACCAGGGCGTGCCCCCTTGCTTTCATCTCTGCTTTGGGCCCTGCCTACCACCCTGCCTCAGTTGGGGGACAGGGATCAGGCAGGCTCAAGTTCAGTACCCCCTCCTGGGGTCATGTAGTAAGGGGTTTGCAGTGCAATGAAGTCTGAGTGCCCCTTCAACAGCAATAAGAGAAGCAAGGGTTAAAAATTCACACAAGCAGGTGTAACTCTGGATTGCAATGGAGGTTCTCTTCGTTTAGCCTGGTATAAGGAAAAGCAGACTCTGGCCACTTATCTGTTGACTTCCATAAGAGATTAAAATATGTTTCCACCTCTGACCTACCAAGATGCTTCCTGAGGTACACCTTCAATAGGGCCAGTGGGCACTTTGGATTTCGGCACCAGTGGTGGTTGGCTGGCCCATTACCAATAGGTGTTTTGTTTGCCAGCTGGCTACCAGCTACTACTGGTTTTCAGACTGGTCAGTGGCTGAGTCATTGCAAACGGCCCGGATCAAACCACAACTAGCTAGATCCTCGTTTTGGACCTGGGAGTTGAAGGTGGGACAGCAGGGTGGAAATAATCTTGGACTGTGGCAGACTTTTGTTTTTGTTTTGATGTTTAACTCTCAAGAACCCAGCCTTAGCTGTAACTTATTCATGAAAGTCTACAACACAATCTCAGCAGGAGGTGTTGGCTGCTGAAGGTGAGCTAGGACTACTTTTTTTTTTCTTCCAGTAGCATAAAGAAAAAAGATTTTTAAATGATTGTAGCACTGACCCGTCAAGCCATTCTACGCAGTTACACTTTGACCTCCATTAAACTACTGCCATGTCTGGAGTTCAGTATGTGCATCAGCCTTTGGAGCCTGATTCTACAGACTCAAAGAGCAGTGCAATCCTACTGGGAAAATGGAGGTGGTCACAGATGTACTACTTGCCTGTCCCATGCTATAGGATACATTGTAAATATGGGATGTATATTATGGTGGTCCCTATTAAAATGTCAGTGTTTGCCATTCAGTACCTTACCCTAGTATCTGAGATGAGCTTGGTTACTCCCTATGCTGGCCATAGGAGTTCTCTGTTGCAAGCCATGAAAACAGTTGGCAAATGTTAACTTTTTTAAATGACTATGTGAAAAACATATAATAGACAACTTCCCACAGCTGGAACCTTACCACTCTCTGCTACACAGCCCTCTGCAGTAGTGTTCCCATGACCTCCAGACAGGCAGATTGCTAATAGGGAATCTCTTGGAGATTTTAAATGTGCTGGGTAAACTTGTTTGAGGTGGAAGTTTGGAAGATAACAATGTAAAGTCTTACCAAGTAAACTGAAAGCATACAAACAATGAGGAGTAACGGTAGTCCAAATTAGGGGCTTTAGTTCGAACTATCTAGCCCGTGCCGCGTGTAGCCGTGGGCAGGGAGTCCAAACTACCAGGCATTTAAAAATGGCGGCACCTGGGAACATGCAAATAAAGCCTGGGATATTTTAATCCTGGGCTTCATTTGCAAGTTTGAATGACTACATTAGCCACCATAGTCTGAGCTAGGGTGGCTAGTGTAGACATACCCTAAGTTTTTGTTTTCTTCATTTAGTCCCTGGTCCTTACATGTCTTATGCAGGATCAAATTCCATTTAAGTAGACTCACTGGAAGTCTGGGTAGGGACCAGAGCATGAGGCTGCACATTCTCATAAGTGATTTCTTTATAAAAAATATGCAATAAAGTTGCAAAGACTAGAATAAATTAGAATGTACATGGCAGTTTCTGATCATATATATATTCAGAGGTCATGCTGGGGCCTGCAAATTTCCAGGCATTTTTTGTTAAAATGCTGCTGTGTTTTGTTTTTCCTACTGAGATTCTGCTAAAGTGTTGGGAAGTTGTATTTTATAAGGAAACATACTCCATACATTATCAGCAGCCTTGTTGACATACTCTAAATCAAACAGCCCTTTAGTTCACCCTGTCTTATCCATTTGATCAATAATACTACTAGTAAGTAATTATTGTGTTTAAACCAATGCAGAAAAACATTTCCTGAGAGATTTCATTTTTTCCCTTTAGAGGAACTTTTGAAACCTTCCATTTTTCTCTCTCTTTGCTCTGCCTTTCTCCCTGATTCCCAACTCTGAGGGCCAAAAAAAAAAAAAAAATCCGCTATCAGAGAACATTTGCAGTTTTATTCTTGTATGAAATGGGCCTTCTCCAGTGTGGAGAAGGCACATTAGTTGGATGTTTCTGCCCAAATGATCACCTGAGAAGTCGTTGGTATTGATGTCTGGTTCTCATTAATATGTTTTTAAGTTAACTTCTCGTTGAGACAAGGGCAAGCTCACACACTACATGAGATATTGGGTGAAATCCTGGCTCCAGTGGAGTCAATGGGTGGTTTCAGTCTTCCTGTGTGAAGGCTTAGGGTGCTGGCACTACATTAGCTAACATTGTGTAGTATGTCATCACAATCAGAAGGGCTAGAATCTCAATCTCGCTCTCTCTTTTTAACTTAAATAAAAGCTTAATTTCTGCATAGAGCCCTACAAGTACTGAAATTCTCCTGATACTTTAAAGCTATTTAATTTCACTGGAAATCCAGTAGCACATATTTCTAATGGCCCTCAGCATGACCTTCCATGGAACAAATTTAAATGGGGGTTAGTGGTAATACCCACCAAGTCCCAAACTTCAGAGTATTGTGACTTCTGGCAAACCACACTGAATCCTACAACAGGATGTAGGTTAATGAGATTTCTTATTTTAATCAAATATTGACAGAATGCATGCTATTCCATTGCAGACAAAGGAAGGTGGGTTTCAAATAGGTTGAAAAGAAGTGAGGTAGGATATTATACTTTACATACTACAATACTGCAGTAGGGTACTGGAGCCCATAAAATGGCTCATCAGTGTGATGGTCATATTTGGATCAATGGCACCACGCCTGGCTCCTGCTAAGTCCCTCTGTATTTCTAGCCTGCAGTGTAAATTACCTAACTCACTTATTTTCCAAGTTAAAAGAATTCCCCCTTCCCAAACATGACTCCTACTTGAAACCAACAGCTCAGTCTGAGGCTGTATTTATGCTTTTAATGGATAACGCTCCATAAGGGAAGTTGGCTACAGTGCTATAGGGGCTACAGCTAAAAAGTAACTCCAAGCAGATGAGTGAAGAATGTAAACAGCCAAAGTGTGTGCTTTTCTATGTCTCAAAGACAGAGCAAATGTTCGGTGCTGGCCCAAATTTACACCAACTTTAGCACAGGTGGGCAGGTTGAGAGTAACATCTTTCCTCTTGGCCACTATTTTTCTTAACTGTTTCTGTTCCCTTGTCCCCATCCCCAGTTACACCCTCTGATCATTCTATGGCTTAAATGCCATTTGGAAGATTATTATAAGAAGCAAAACCCAAATGCCACTTACCACAGAGAGCTTCCAACTGAAAGCAAAGGAGACCGAATGTTAAAACTCCTGACTTCATACTTGTCTAGCCCAGACAACAGCCCCAGTCTTCTGTCTTAAGGTTTCAAAGCTGAAGGAGAATTCATATTTTTGTCGTTGTTGCCTGTTTCATACGAACGGAAGTGGTTTTGTGGGCAATGAATGGAATTATATAGCAATGAAAAGGGTTTTTTTTATTTAAAATAACCCCTGGCAACATTCTAGCTATGTCAGCAGAGGTTTTGCTATTACAGGCGTCTGGGGTTGGGGGGAGGGAACTGTGTTTTTTGTTTTCTTTTCCCCTAGCTCACGTCTTTCTTTCATCTTCCCAGCACCGATTGTTTCTGTGTCATTGGCTTGCCTCATAGAATATAGGCCGCCTTCAGTGTTCACTTTCACAGGTGGCTACTTCCTGCTTAATCCATTCCTTGTAGGCACCACTATCCCCTATGCAGGCTGTGTCTTGCAAATAACCAGTGGCTAACAAACCAGTGATGACATAGATAAGAACCAAATAAATTTATGTCAAATTGCTTTGCATGAGGCACTCTCTGCCCCCAGTTTCTCTCAAACTTTGTTGCTGTCTCTTTGTTTTAAAGCTCTCAGTGGATAGAGTAAGCCTGACGGAATGGCTATACTAGGCTACACAGGGTACTTGAAACACTGGAATTCAATGGAAACGCAAGCTCAAATCCCAGGTGGCTGCTCAGCCCTCGGTCTTTCTGGGAGCTTGTTCCAATGAGACTTTTAAACCCTAGTCCATGCCTGTTCCGCATGGACACAAGAGCTCGCAAAAGCAGGGGGAGTGATGCTGTGTCCACAGCCAAAATTCTCTCACTCTGCTTTTGTTACTGGGTTCTGGGTTACTGTTTTTTTTTGTCCCAGAGGAGGCTGCACCTGTGTAGTCTGAAGAATGCTTTGGGATCCCAGGGTGACAGCCACATCCAAAGGATTATTTACCTATGTATATTTTTATTATGACAGCTCGTTGGAGCAGGGAAAACAGTTTAAGAATCTAGGGGGTTTGGTTCATTTCAACTGTATTTGCACTCGTTAGCATCCCTAAACCCACAAAGATGTTCTGAACGGAGTTAGAGTACCCGCTGGGTGGAAATACTTGGGTGACCAACTCAGACACTGTGCAGATATTCCAGAGACTGACCGTGGTTCACTTTGCCTGTGCTTTGAATGTTACCAGATATCAAATCCAGAGTGTGTCTGTGCTTGTGTGAATATGTTTGGTCAAAAACACCTAAACAGTAAGAGCTAGGACCACTCAATTTGGTAGGCAGCTTTTAGAGGGACCCTGGCTTTTTGCAGCTGAGCCAGTTCCTGGGCTGATGAGCCAGGGCAGCCTCTGGATTGAAAGCCAGGGGCTCCTGTATTCTAATCCAGCCCTCTACTGCCTTTAGCCTTCCTACCTCTTTTCTTCCTCTTAAAGTGGGGCTAATACTCACTCAGCTCCCAGGGATAGCATTTCTGAGAAAAACGAATGCCAGCACCTGTTGACAGCTGGCACACACTGCCTATTTCCACAGCACATGTCCTAGCTCTGTCGCTGGTTTTGCTGTCACACACGTGTTTCCTTTTTCCACCCTGCGGCTCACTTCTTGTCCTGTCATTTTATTCTTTTAAAATTCTACAGGGACGTGTTCCGTTAGTCGATTTTTCCATGTATTTCTCAGTGGTTCTCAAAGTGTGGTCCAAGGACCACCAGTGTTTTGTGACCATCTTTCAGGTGGGCCACGGGCTTGGGAAGTCTGCACTGACACTCCAGCCCTGCATTCCTCTCCCCAGAAGGCTAGAACACCAGAACTGGATCCTAGAACTCTTCCCCGGGGGAGGGGCCTGAGCCTTGTGCACTAGATGCAGCTTGTAGGGGGATGAAGCAACTCTGTGCACTGCCGCTGCCTCTCCCTACAGCTGGGGGAGCATAAGTGCAGGAAACTGCTTGCCTAGAGGCTTTCCCCGATGTTCCCACTGGCTGAAATCCAGGCCAATGAGAGCAGCAGGGGGCAGTGCCTGAGGGTGCAGAGTCAGGTAAGTGCCCCTTATGTCAGACCCAGCACCCCATCACCCTCACACACACACACTCGACTACTGAGAGCTCCCACTCCCACCCTACTCCCTCATCCTCCCTTCTGACAGACCCTGCACCCTCAGCCCACTACTACACCCTTCCTCCTGCCCAGACTGTGCATCCCTTCTCCCTCCTGCACCCATTTTGCCATCATAGGGGCTGGCTGGTGGTCCGTGGAAAGATTTACATTGCGTGGGGGGGGCACGGCCCAGAAAGTTTGAGAACCACTGCTCTAATGGCTTTTTCCATTCCACCTTTCCCAGCTTGGCTTCTCCTTGTGTGCTGCCACACAGAAAACTGGCCCTTTTTCAGTTGCCCTGACTCACCACTCTGGAACTTTTCCCCTGAGCTACCAAGTCATATCCTGTCTTTCAATCATATCACAAAACTTACCGTACCACAGAGATGTACACCTCATTTGCCCTTCCCATTACTGCATCTTTCCATTCTCCCCAGTCTATAAATAACCCAGAAAATCTTTTCTTGCCATTTTGCTGCTTCTAATAAATGGAACAAAACACACCTTGTTTGGCTGGGAACTGACCTTGCACTGGCCGAGGATGGGCAATATTGTCCTCTCTGGTGTATTGCTTTGTCCTATCTAATTTCAGCTGGCTCTGGGTTGCACAGATTCCTAGAAGTCACTGTGAGGATTTTGCTTCTGCTAGTCAGATTATAGACTAATAGAATCATAACCCACTAGAACATGAGAGGTGTTAGTGTCCAGTACCCTGCCCTCATGGCAGGACCAAGCACCATCTAGACCATCCCTGATAGACATTTATCTAACCTGCTCTTAAATCTCTCTAGTGATGGAAATTCCACAGCCTCCCTAGGCAACTTATTCCAGTGTTTAACCACCCTGACAGAATTCCTTACTTACTTGCTCCATTATTTTTCCTGGCACAGAAGTTAAACTGACTGGTCTGTAGTTTCCTGGATTGTTCTTATTTCCCTTTTTATATATGGGCACTATATTTGTCCTCTTCCAGTCTTCTGGAATCTCTCCTGTCTTCCATGATTTTTCAGAAATGATAGCAAAAGGTTATATTCTCCTCTGCTGAGTTAAATTGCATCCATCATTCCAGGTATAGCTGTTACTGGCCTGCCCAGTTCTCCTCCCCACTAGCTGCTAGCGATCTCTCATATGCCCTTCACTCATCTTTGGCCCTTTCAGTATTCTGCTTTTTTTGCCTGACTGTCTTCACCTCCCACTTCTCTGCTTCTGCCTGCAAATGGGCTTTCCCCTCCCTACTGTAGGTTGACCCTCTGTCATGATAAATAGTTATGTAAAGTAGGTTAATAGATTGATGATGTTTAATGGTATTATGGACTGTTTGGGTAAATATCAAAATGGAGTAGATACAGACAAAATGGAGTTTACAAGACATGTGACTTTGGGAAAGGGAGAGATCCTTTCTATGGAGTGATAAACAAGAACCAGTACGAAATGGATTTTCCCACCTTTTTGTGGACTGAGGGCAAACCACCTCAGAGGTTTCCCACCCAAAAGTTTATAAAAGCTCGGATGCAGCCCAGGAGGGGTGCTGTCCACCCGACAGACAGTGTTTGCATGGGTACCGAAAGACCTGATCCAGCTGCAGACCAGTCTGGAGAGCAGAAGAGGAATCCCATCTATCACCTTCCATCCTGCAAATACCATCTGCCTGCCATCCTCTTCGGGGTTCTTTTACCATCAGCGAGGGACTCCCTGGTGTACCTCCCTGAGGGCTCTCAACCAGCCTAAGGGTTGTAGGTCCTGAGCAACGCTCTCCGGATCCTGTCACTCCAGTTTGAGAAGAGCAAGTAGCCATCTGTAATTGGGGTACAACCTACCTTTATGTTCTCGCTGTCTGTGGTTATACAGAGGGGTTTTACTACAGTAATTCCTCTCTTAACACGTGCCAACTTAGCATGTTTTCACTATAGCGATTTTTTTTTTTTTTAGGGAACATTTTTTTAACAACATGACCCGTCCCCGCAATAACACAATTTCCCCTACAGGCCAGCCAGTTACCAGCCGCTGCGCGGGGCTTCCCCTGCCTCCGGAGGTTCGCTGCTCGCGGCGCCATTCCCTGGCGGCCCCCTCTGGGGACGCTTCTCTCCCTCTCCTCTGCCCCCCATTTATAGCCGGCAGCTGGGTTTCCCCAGCTGGCCAGTTGCCGACAGCTGTGCGGGGCTTCCCCTGCCTCCCTGCAATGCGGCAGAGGTTTGCCGCTCACCGTGCCGTTCCCTGGCAACCCCTCCTCACTGGATGCGAGGCATCTGTCCAGAGGGGGTTGCTGGGGAATGGCACGGCGAGTGGCAAACCTCTGTTGCTTTGCAGGGAGGCAGAGGAAGCTCCGCGCAGCTGCTGGCGACCGGCCAGCTGGGGAAACCCAGCCGTCGGTTGCAAGCCCCCTCCCCTGTCCTTCCCTTCCCTTCCCTTCTCCAGAGCCAAACACCTCTCCTCCCCGCTATAACCCAGTCTCCTTTCTCCCCCAACCTTATGTCCTGGTCCCAGCTGCTAACAAGTGCGGGCTGAAGCTGCGAGCGCACATGCGCTTGAAACGCAACCCTCACCTTTTCCATTATTTTCAATGGGAAAATTGACCCCACTTAACACATGTTAAATGAGGAATTACTGTATTCACTTTCACTGTTTTGTTGATGGTTATTAGTTTGCGCCGGGCTTCTTCCCCCCCGCTCTACCCTATTTTTGTATACAATCCCTAGTACAGTTTCCTCTTGTTTTCACCTTTAATCAGAGTCTGTTTTTCTTTTCCCTTTGTCTTCTTTACAGGCCTAATTCACAGGTGATATATCCTGAGGGAGGGGACAGATCTGTCTTCTTTTGACTGGGGCTTTTACCAGCAGGCCATATTTGAATGTTATTCAGGCCCCATGGGTAACATTATCACTGTGGAAAATCTCCTGTCTCTTTTAAAGGGTGCTGTGATCCTTTCTGTGAAGATTCCAAAGCCTGTCTATGAACATCGTATTCTGTTTGCTCCTGCTGCAA